TATAATCGAAAGTTACTGATTTATTTACACTATTTCTCATAATTCCGGTCCAAACACCAAAGTACCTTAAAAATTGACCAAGTGCAAAATCGCCATAAAAAAATTTTACCATACATTTTTTGCGGAATCCAATGTTGAGTCCCACATAATCCCATTATTTTTGGGATACCAACCTAATTTATACATTTTCTATTCCCATTTATTTCGGGTGCAAGCCACGGTATCTGACATTGTCCTGATTTTACGTCCTGATTTTACGTAGTCCGTCCCGAACCCGATTTTTACCGCTGAAACTTGCATTCGACTTGTCCCAATTTCATGACTTGGTACATCTCACGGAACAGATCGAGCAATTTATCCATATCTTGAACAATCCACTCGGCCAAGTACTTATGAACCGTAATTGTGACCATTGTTGGATAACTGAGTCGCCCAAGAAATAGAACAAGAATAAACAGATAACAGTTGCCACCCACCTCTGTGGCAAACCGGTCGCGAACAAAGGGGTCGAATGGTTCCTCGACAAAATTCAATTTGTATCGTTGGACACACGTGCGGTTACACACCTCCTGTGTGGGAACAAACCGAAAAGACGTCCAAAATTGATCATTGTAATTGTCCTTGAGTATCAACACAAATTTATCAAGGGCAACATTAAAATCGTTTATTGAATCTCCACTGGAATCCATTACTTCAATTGTCTCATTTTCAAAGTCTACAATGATAGGCATCACACGTTCATTTTCGTCCGAGTTCGTAGAAAGCGTGATGAGGGAAAAACGCGTCTTACATTCGGCTGCGTCTAATTTTTGAATAACGGACTGAATATTCATTTCACTAGCTGTTTCAGCATGTATCTTTATGCGATAAATGATGACTGTGCACACACTGGGAAAATCACGAAACAGAATTAGAACGTAGTCATCAAGCTGACTCATAAAAGAAAAGACAATCTTTTGTAAAAGAAATGGTTGTCGAATTCGGTCGCATCATCATCCATAAAATACTTTGGCATGCATAGCATCCCACCTTTTGGAAGTGTGTGTCGTTCCAGCTCCATCGTCTATTTTTTTTTTTGCTGAGTCTACAGTCATTATCGCATAGAATGCGGTACTCGAGTAAGTCGAATGGGCGCCCCATGGTAAGTCTGATGTTGTCCTCCAAATACTTGATGTCTACAAGTTTACACTTGTTGGTAGACACGTGTTAATAGCGCTTGTCATATTGAAATGTACGCTGGTAGAGTCGTGCGATATCGAAAACACAATCATTTGAAGTATCCAAAATTTGGTTGTATTTTTCAACAAACGGACGATAGACCGTTTCCCACAGTGGACTACGTGTCACCACCAAGTTCCAATCCGTAAGCTGGTACCTAATAGTTGGTCTGGGTTTCTCCTTATCAACGTCACTGCACAATTCCGTACACATATTACGAGTCTCCAGCAGCACTTCCGAGCCTCCACGCGGAGCCTCAATGTTGAACTTGATTGTATTCTCGTACTTGGATGACCATTTTTGGATACATTTTCTATCATGAATACTATAGATGCATGCATCGTTTGTGCACATGTCGGTGAAAAGTATTAAAAACTTTAGATACAAATTCGCGCGTACTCTGTGAATCTCGTTCCGACGCATCAATTGAAAGCTTATGTTTTGTATCATACATACACTTACGAGTTGCCAGTAGCTCTTCTGGACGTCCGCGCGTATTCTCAATGTTTTATTGTAATGCAGTAAAATAGTCGTATGTATAATTTTTAATGGTTCTTCTATCGCGAATACTATAGATGCAAGCGTCTTTCGCAAACGCCATGGTGAATGCTCGAGAAACCTTTAATACAAACTTTCGCGCCCCTGATTCATTTCTATCAATGTTCTTGTATTGTATAAGGAATGTCTCGATGTTGTCGTCTACATCCACTGATAGGTCTGCCGACCCGGGTGTCGTCTACGACCCGTGGCGTGGAGGGGTTTCACAGATATGACTGGTTTGGGTACACTGCCACTATTGCCCGTGCACTTGGTGCGAGTCGCTAGTAGCTCTTCTGATCGTCCATAGGTATCATAAACCCTAAACCCTAACCGCATCATGATATTCGTTTGATAAATAGGGGAAGATCTTTTGTCACAGATACTATAGGTACAAGTATCTTCCCCAAACACGTCGTAGTAAGCTTCAGATAACTTTGCTAGAAACGGCCCAGTTCTGTATTGTCCTCCGTTCTGTTAAAATCCGCGCACACCGCGCGCTTGTTGCGAGTCGCCAGTAACTCCTCCGGTCGTCCGCGCGTATCCATGATGTTATTTTTTAATGCATTGTAATAGCCAAGTGTCTCATTTTTGAAGGTTTCTTTGTCACGTATACTATAGATATAAACGTCATTCGCAAACGCTTCGGTGAATTTTTGAGACACCTTTGCTGCAAACGACCGTGGTCTCAACTCCGTTTGGTCAATACTCTTATAGTTTATCAGGAACGTCACAGTGTTCTCTAAACCCTCGAATGTGTCCGCCAACTTGGGCTTGTCCACTAACCGTAGTGCAGGGGACTTCACATGCAGGCCATCCGTGCTCTTGTTGCGAGTCGCCAGTAGAACAGCCGGACTACCAATAATGTCTACAATGCTGGCTTTGATTGTACATTGTACTATAGTACTCATCTGCCGCACGTTCAATCCATTTTTTTATTACGAATACTATAGATGCGCGTGTCGTCCGTGAATTTGTTGGTGAAGAGGTCGAATACGCCGGACACGTATTCATCTATACTCTCCGCCTTCCATTCAATATCATGAATCTTTTCCAGGAATGACATTGTCTCTTTTTGTGTCTAAATTTTTTCTTTAGCAAGTCTTGCCCTATTCGATGAAATTTGGACTTTACGACGATTCTGCGATGTCAACAGCTCATACCTTATTAACTTTGGTCAACATCCCATACATAACCCCGATTCTGACCCAATTTCATAACTTGATACCCGGAACAGGTCGAGATGTCACTAGCCCATTCGTTCAGGTACGTGTAAACTCTGCCGTGCCCATTGTCGGAATACTGAGTCGAGCAAGAAGTAGTACAAGAATCCACAAATAACAATTGCCAATCACACGTGCAATTCGGACACGGACAAAAGGGTCAAACGGCTTCTCGACAAAACGTCTCTCAAGATCCTGGATACTGGTAGAATTACACACGCTTTCAAACATAATATAATGATAATACGTTCCTTGGTGATAAACATATTCCACACGTAGTCTGTACCCAAATCGATCAAGAGTAATGTTAAACTCACTTAAATATTGTCCATTGGGATCAATCGTTTCGATTGTCTTCGATTCAAAGTCTACAACCAAAACAATCGCATGTGCAGCACCACTCTCACTGACCACAATAAGTGTGATTAGGGCAAAACGAGTCGTACAATTAGCGGCATCCAGTTGTTCAATAACTGACGGGATACGCAATTCTTCGACTGTTCTATCGGTTGAATTTATACGGTGCGTAATGATTATGCATACTATGGGAAAATAACGAAACAGAATTTTAATGTGTCTACTTGAGGTTTTCATGAAAGGCACCCTTTTGTAGAACGACAGATTGTCGAATACAGTCGCATCGTTTTCCACCG